TAGAAGCACACATGACGGATACGGAGAAGTAGCAGTACACAAGACGGATACGGAGAAGTAGTGGTACACAAGACAGACACGGAGAAATAGTAGAAAACAAGACGGACACGCAGACGTTGAAGGAAGCAAGACGGATACGGAGAAGTAGTAGGACACATGGCAGATGCTGAGAATGTGAATCAGAATAAAATAAACTCCACTGCATACAGACAAACATAATCTGCTCTGACTTTTAACTTCTCTGTAATAAAATGTCAGTGTAATGAATACCGTACTTCATCTGGGAGACGTTTTAACAGTCTATTGTGAACATTATTTATGCAGAAAATAAGTTAAACTATAGCGATCTCCAACAAATCATTTTATACAATGCAGTCATTAATACTGAAAGTGTAACATAATAAACAATATCATTCCTACTTGCGTTTACACTGGCCAGAAAGAGCCTTCTGAGTAAACTAGAATATATTTGACATCTATGTATCTATCTGGTCAAAAAACTAATACTGATCGCATGTTAAAAAAGGCACAATGTAGGTCACAGTGACCTTTGGTTATAAGGCTGGAGTACTAACAGAGATGCATTCAACTTTGGAGTTGCACAACTGAAAAAACATAAACAGTTTCTTTTAGAAAACGAAATATAGATCTTACGAAGAGGCGTCCACTCACAGTTTCACGATTTAATTAGGACATTATGCGCATGGCATGCTAAAATACATGTGGTCTTCAGCTAAATTCATAAGTTAACACAGAGGTAGTAAAAGATGAAACAAAAAAAACCGATGAGCTTGTTGTAGGGATATGTGGTAGTAATACAAACATATCACCATTAACTGCACGAACCTTGGATTAGAAATGAACACGAATAAAAAAAAACTTTACACCAAACAAGCTATGTGTAAAATATTGGCTATATAATGATCTAATAATGAAATAAAAGAATAGTACAAATTAAGATGTATAGCCTCCCCCCAGATTGTAAGTACGACAGCATGTTCACGCAATGCAGAAACAAATCCGTAGTCGTCAGCTAAATACAAAAGTTGTCTAATAAAGATGCATACAGTCATCGAGTTTCATGATTCTGGCACGAACGGTTATTCATATAAAACACAGGCCAGCGACATACCAAATTGTTAGTCACCTTTCAGATAGAACCCAGGCCACTGACATACCAAATTGTTAGTCTTCATGACCTATTTATGTTTTGAGTGTGCAGTACTCATCTAGATGCCTCTCACTAACATTTGTGACTCCATGTAAACAGTATTTATAGTGTGCAAAAAGTATTTATACAGTGTGCAAAAAGTATTTATACAGTGTGCAAAACAAACTGACCTAAACGCAAGAACCTAGAATCTTCAACTTATCTGCATGTAAAAAATTATCCTACCCCACCCAACCACCAGTCTCCTCTGGGGCGGGAATGGGTGTCTAGTCGTTTTGAAACTTAGTCTGAACTGAAGCGTAGGACTTACCAAGAAACAATAATTTAGATTCTGTAGTCTATGTGTGTACATATAATTTTATATATGCGGATGTCAATGACAAATGCAGGTGTAACACAAAAAAAATTCACTTAATCGCATATGAGAACTAAAATTGTTGAATTTAGCATTAATGGAAAAATATAGAAATGGTGAAAGGAAATAAAGTCTCTGGTATGATCTTATGATTTGCCTTGACACTTGAACTTTATATGTTCGGATGCTTTAAAACGAACTTCTGCTTTTTAATTATTTAACTTACTCTCACAAAAAAGTTTCTTATTGTAAGTTTAAAAGCATTTTTATTCAAACATGTCAGTATAATTAGATTTACCAGCGTTTTCGAAACTGACTTGTGTTAATGGTGCGGATTTTTTTTTTTAAAGGAACGAGAACGCATGTCGATGATTCATCCAAAGTATTAAGTAGATCCACCAAGGCATTTAGGACACTTGAATGGAACAATATTAACACTAAGGCAAATGTAGTATTATGTAAATCCACCAAGGCATTTAGGTCACTTGAATGGAACAATATTAACACTAAGGAAAATGTAGTGTTAAGTAAATCCACCAAGGCATTTAGGTCACTTGATTGGAACAATATTAACACTAAGGAAAATGTTGTAGTGTTAAGTAAATCCACCAAGGCATTTAGGACACTTGAATGGAACAATATTAACACTAAGGAAAATGTTGTAGTGTTAAGTAAATCCACCAAGGCATTTAGGACACTTGAATGGAACAATATTAACGCTAAGGAAAATGTTGTAGTTTGAACATAAATGTTCAACTAGAAATATATTCCTGAGTGCGAGAGTACTATGTTAAAGCATAGACATCATTAAGCCAGGCAGGTAAACGAATCTGCCAGGATAAGGAACTGATGGAGCGTTAGGTGAAATAAAGTCATATATCTTCTAACTCAATGACACAAATCTTAAGCCTGTATGTGCCGGCAAATGGCTTAAGAATGGCAAATGATGAACAAATTAGCGCTATAGAAGAAAATCTTTTTGAAAAAAAAGACGACTACGAGACGGGGTGCAGTGTAGTAGTTAAAATATGCACGACCATTTAATGCAGGGTTCGTCCTGGGCTTCGCCAATGTCGCAAAGTGCGATTTTGTTCCCTTATTGGAGACAAAATATATCATCTGGCGATTTGTTTGCGACAGCCTTTCTGGCTGTTTAATTTGTACATACAATCATGGATATGGAGTGGAGAAATTCGAAGGAACACATTTGCATAATTTGTATACACAATGCACTAGTATCTGTTACATATACAATCAGTTGTTCGTATTGACAAACTTATCTTTACATTGCATTGTTATATCATATTCCGCTTATGCTGACATCTGGCCCCGAGTATTGTATGCGGTGATAACGCTCAATCATGCTACCACATTATACCTACAATCGACCGACCTGTGATGACGCGAACAGAAACAACTACAATCAATTGAATAACGGCTAATGCTTCTATTGTTTATTTTAAATATATCAATAAAATAGTTGCGCTGAATTTTCAGAGAAAACTGATTACCTTTTATATACCGAATGCTGTGTATAAATACAAAGCAAATGCAAAAAATCTCAATCAGTAATTGATGTCAAAAGTGCAACTTTATCATTGGTAAAGGTAAGTTAGATGTTGCATGTTTGTTGTCTCAACCTAAAAGTTAACAAAATTAACAGCAATTTAGATTTCGTGCAAATTCATCAGAAAACACAGTCACCGAACCTGATCTTATACCTGACAGTCTAACATCATCTACATGTAATGATGGTAGTAATGCTTCAAGTGCAATACCAAATCATGATGAACAAGTCAAAATTTCCCGAAAATTTCTCGACAGCTGGAAACTTGAGCGTCCATGGCTGAGATATGACACAAAAGTAAAGGGGATGTTAAGTGTTATATGTATCAAGGCACAAGTCGTCAATTTATTTACAGCTGACTGTGATTCTGGTAAGTTTGTTCGTTCATATTTTACTTTTGTCAAATCCCGTGTTATGACTCAAGGGACTTAAACTATGCAACCAGATATAGCAAAACAAACAAGTGTTACGAAAATGAAAATAATTTATTTCTCAAAATACAGGAGTAAAATAATTAAATTCATTGACTGCATAGTGAATGAATTCCTTATTCCTAAAAGTCCTTTCAATTCCAATAGTTCCAAGAAATCCGAATACGTTCCGACGAAAGAAGACCCTCCTGTGTTTAAGTTTCAAATGTACAGAAAGATTTCCAAATAATTCAAATAGTCGCTGAATAAATTTATTTAATACCGTATATAATAGTCTGTGAAGGCTTGATGGATAGAAAAATAACTCCGGAGAAATACAAGTCATATAACATGATCGTACGTCGTTAAAGACGAAAATAGCAGAAGGAACTCGATGGTCATGCGTGGAACGAAGTGTTCGGAAGTTGCTTTATCTCTTATTATTCTTATTTAGCATGATAGAGGGGGACCAATGTCAGAAACGGTCATGGGGGTAATGTGAGCTTTTTGTCACTCTGTATTTTTTCCTTCAGACTTTTGATTTTTTTCTAAGCTCGCGTCGAACACGTGTCCAATACACAAGAAATTCTCAAAGGACACGCCGTTTCTCCCGGTAGAGTGCGTTATCCCAGTCCCACGTGCCCCATGTAATAGTCTGGTCAGCTGTGCCGAGACTACATAATAAATAAAGGTTAGATTCGAGCCTCTTCAACATACTTCAAATAAACCGCCTGTTATACAGTAAGTAAAAGCACATTTTTGTTATAACTAACAATGCCTAAAAATGGGTGTGAATTTATGTTAACAGTTTAAATGTGGTTTCAAGCTATCATACATGTGATAACACTTTCCTACATTTTATATCCCACTTATTTCCTTATTGTTAACTCATATACGCATACAACACTGCTTACCAAACAACATATTTATTCTGAATTAGTTTTTGGACGGTAATATGCTTCGTGGTATGTTTCTTCATTCCTTCTTTATTAATGATGGTAAGTAATGCTTATATATGCTTTTCATTGATGCCAGGTGTTCACTCGTTTCCTTGGTAGGAATGGAGATCCTAGTTTGCTTATGGAGAAAAAAATCTACAGTGTTCAGTGATCATTCTTTCGATTAAGGAAGCAGTTCACTAAAAGCAAAGCATATAAATCGCGGCAACAATAAAATTCTGAACTGCTAGTTGACGGAGGTGTACATTGTTAAGCTAGCCATAAAGGGAGAAGGGCATTTTAATTCCTAAATGCATGAAATCTACGGTCGCATTATACGTCACTTGTCTTACATTTTAAAGTACGATCATAGGCTTTTGGTATTAAAATGGCATTAATGTTCCTTACAAAACAGTAATTTAATGATTTATTGTGTAATATTATGACTGTATTATTCTGTATTACTTGTCAGTAAAGTAATAACAATCCAATCTTTTTCAATTTTCATTGCCTATTGCATTAATAAACCTGGAAAAATATTCACTACATGTTTTGGAACCACTGCGGTGGCCTAGTGGTTAAAGCGTTCGCCTCGGATGCAGGAGGTCGCGGGTTAGAACCCCAGCTGAGTCATATCAAAGATTTTTTAAAATGGTACTAACAGCTGCCTCGCTTGGCGCTCAGCATTAAGAAATTAGTGGTAGGATTGTTGGCCTGGTATGACAATAATGTGACTGGGTGGATATCATGCCACATATCTGCGACATGATGTCCCAGTGCTAGACATCACCAAAAACTGTCACATTGCAGATATCGTAGCGATATGACTGAAAAATTGCTAAAGCTACGTTGTGGAGACACTTTTGGAAAATTGGCGACAAAATATTGAGGTTGTCGACTTTTCTGGCGACAGCTTTCTGACAGCCAAGACCATTAATTTTTAATGGTCTGTCATCTATCACCGATACAACGCATACCAGAAGAAAATAATCTCTCTTCCAAAAGTGATACATTGCTACATAGGTATAAAATCATCGCAGTCAAAATCGTCATATATACTGATAATCCAAGCAGACACGGTCATTCGCCGCAAAAGTGATCTGTTCTACATAAGCTAGGTTTACATTAAAGACATATATTGTCTTGCCTGAATAGTAGTACATATTGCCGTCTTGCCTGAATAGTAGTACATATTGCCGTCTTGCCTGAATAGTAGTACATATTGCCGTCTTGCCTGAATAGTAGTACACATTGCCGTCTTGCCTGAATAGCAGGTGCTGGCTTTGACCTAATATATAGTTCAATACTAATTTGAGAGAAAAACCTAAGAATGAGTATTATTTTTTAGCTGAGTTGCCCGATAGTTCAATAGGGAATACAAAAAAGGTATAGTGTCTGCATTGATGAATAAACCAAGTAAAGTCTAGGCTGTATCGACCACAAAGTGTTTGTAACAGCTAATACATTACATAATCAAATAAAGTCACATAAAATTGGGTTATGCAAAACCATTGAATTTCCAAGTGCTAACATAACAGCTGTGCTACAGTAGTTTACATACATTTAGCAGTAGATCAATTTGTTTTTCGATTTCTCTGTGCATTGGAGGGCGAAGATCGTATCAAATGTAATTTTGTACAACTGTGTAAAGAGGAGCCCGGGTGGTTGAGTGCTCGAAAGAGCTCGCCTTTAGTGATCATTCCGATCTCACCTCTGTCTACAAGGATTTGACCAATGTAGGTATATATGAGAAAACTTGCCAGTACTTTCCAGTGGTTCGGTGGAACTTGCTGGAGTTTTCCCTAGTTCTTCATCCGTCAATTTTTCATTTTCTCCATGTCTTAATTTGGATTTCCCTAATTGCAAAATGCAACCCATCACATTTTCCATCAGGTTGTTTGAGATTCCAGGTGCAAGAACGATCATAGCACAGCAAAGAAAATGGACTGGAATGATGCGCCTAGATTGTCCTGAATTTACCATGACAAACTCGACATGTTTGCTATGCCCCAGCGATATGAAATAATTTAAGTGGATATAATTTCATCATAGGTCCTCTACGACGACCTGAGATCCAAGCAGGTTTGACATCGGCGGACAAATAAACCATTACATCATCAGCTACTTGTACCCGAACATCAAACGCATCAAAACCGACAACGCCAATCAAGCTGTCGATGCTAGAATGACTCCCGTCAACAATGTATGCATATCTCTATTTTCTCCACTTAACGTTTGCTTTGATGATATCATTGTTATACCTCAATACAATTGGTACATCAGCTCATCTAAGACTGTTAACACATCAAGGCATTAAATACTGGAATTCATTCGACATACTCTATCCTTTGGGACTTGTGATCAAACGTTCAGAATTTTGTAGATTTAATTCACAATACTTTACTTTTCTTTTCTAACTTTCATTTTGTATTATATGCAAATAAACTATTTGTTGAATTTTATTATACTAGTTGGCTTTTTCTTGTTACTTAGGCAGTTCTGGTGGCCTAAGTGGTTAAAGAATCCGCGTCGAATGCAGAAGGTTGCAAGTTCGAACCTCGGCCAAGTCATACTAAAGACTTTGAAAAATGGTACTAGTATCTGCATAGCTTGGCGCTCAGCATTAAGAGGTTGATGTTAGGACTGGTCGACCAGGTGTCAGAATAATGTGACTATTTCGAACATGATCTACATGTCTGCGGCATGATGCTCCAGTGCAAAACATCAAAAATAAACTGCCACAATGTATACATCGTAGCGAAATGACTAAAGCAATAATTAAACCTCCGTTAAAAATCAAAATTACACACTCACACACACTATTCTACTTAAGTTTAAGAACACAGAGTGGCACCATTATGCAGGAGGATGCATTTGCTAGGATTTTCTTAAAACATGTCCAGACGAAGGCAGTAACAATGAGACATTTCCAACCTTTAAAATTTTGCCAACTCTGTGAGGAGCTTTAGTTTTCAGCAGCCATCGAGAATTTATCTTTCATGAAGACTCTGACAATATTCCTTAAATCAATATTCTGAGAGAAGCATTGTGGACTGCTACAACCACATGGCCATGAAGCCATCGACATAGATATGATTGGTGTTTTCTATCCAGAACAATAACTACCGCAGCCACAAACCATTCTTAGAGTACTTAAAAAGTAAATAAAGATGAAACAATAGTGCTGTTAAAATGGCCACAAAAAGAATTATACTCAGTCTCCAATTTTTAATTATAGGATAAAAATAAAACTTAGAGAATTATTTGGAAGACACATGGATTCTCATCCAAGAAGCAAGAATCTTGAAAAAGTGTCATAAAGACATTAAAGGCCATCTGAAACATTCACTGACTTAGTTTGAACCCTTTAGAGAAAAAGCATGAAATTATTATCTATCATTACCTATGACAAAAAGGGTATTTATTTTTTTATAATAGGATTTTACAGATGCAGGTGGTAGGGTCAATTTTTCTTTTTATGGAGTATACTTTCAGTTTCAAAACCCCTTCCACGTCCTATATGTTGTAAACCAATGCAATTGTTGGTTAGCTTAGGGTGAGTTATTGTCTACGAAGGGGATATAATTTTCTCGGAGTTTGTCCAGTTGTGGGTGTTTTAGTTGGGGGTTGTCATATTGTCGAAATTTTTTAATATTTTCCCCACGGGACCTTTATAATTTTTTTTAAATTGTTTTGTAATCCTTGAAAAATTTCTTTCTGCGAACCTGTTTGGCCGTTTTTAACCCAAATTGATATTCGTATTAACCATAGTAATTTTTGGGAAACCCCAATTTTATAACTCGTTTTTAAAATTACAGTTGGGGCCATTTTTAAAAGAGTACAAATAGCACTTAACGCAAGGTTATTGTAACAAAAACATTCTCAAAAATTCAAATCAAAATTCCTTTATTAAAAATCAAAACCCACAAAAGCGCTGAAAAATGAAGGAACTTACGGAATACGTTTATGCGCCAATAAAGTTGATCTTCACAAAAGACAAACCATCTTAAAAACGGTTTAACCCATCTTTAGCGGCGGAACTCCGACCCTTAAAAATAAAAATAAATTTTAAAAAATATTCAAAAAAATAAAATAATAAAAAGAAAAAAAAAACAAGAAAAGAAGAAAAGAAGAAAAAAAAACCCGTTTTATTTTTAACGTACTTTAAAATATTTCATCTATTCTCGATGTCTGCATTTACATTTTTAATGATGTCAGCACTGAGATCATCCGCAACATCAGATTATTCCCATCCGTCACTTTATTTTCCCCACCGATGGGTCCAACAGAAAAACTCTTAAACGGCCCCATAAGGCATTATACCATTTTGTTTTTTTATACTCAGCTTTTCAAAACCACACCTCTCCCTCGGGAACCTTTTCGCTCTAACCCAAGTTGGACTATCAAAATTTTTGCTTTTACTCAACTTGACAAAACTGAAATTTTCAAATTTAAAAAAGGGTCATAGACAAAAAAAAATTTTTTATATATTTTAATACAAACAACGATCTTCACGAAAAATTAATTTTTATACAATATAAATGTTTAATGACATGGATTTTTTTCCTTGCCGCTTTTTTAAACTATAATAACACAATCGACCCCCTTTTTAAATTTTAATTCCCTGTTACCAACCCAACTTTGAAAATCACCCAATAGTCCGAAGAGTTAACAAATTCAACCAAACAATAGCACATGCAAGTTGCAATTGACAGTAGTTTTTGCCAATTTTTCTCTTTTAGGAAAAATTTTACCTGACCCAAAAATGACGTACAAATTCTTAAACGAATACAACTAGCTCACCGCTTCTTACAATATATAGGAAAAGAAGAATCCGAGCTCAAAAACCCCCCCAACCCCCAAAAAAATAAAAAAAACCTGGGTAACTAATAAAAAAAATGCAATCATAATCTTAAAGAATCCGAGTAAACAAAAAAAAACCTGGGAACTTAGATACCTGTTGCAATAAATAATTTGTAAGAATCCACTCAACACCCCAAACCCTCCAAAAAAATCATAAAACACCTTTCAAAATACCTGGGAACATAAAATTTAAAAATGATTTTCCCCAAAAAAGCAAAATGATGTGTCACTAAATTTTTTTAATCATTACGATTTAGCAGAGCGGGGCGAGGGGACTAAATTAATTAGAATTCCATAAGAATGTAAATCCTCTTTACCAAGTTAATGTCCAATTAGATTCAAAAAATTTTTTTTCTTTTAATAAGGCAAATTTATTTTACCGGAATAACGAGGGGACTCAAAAAAATCTTTTATTTGTGATTTGTTAAAGGGGGTATTTTTTGTCGAAAAAATAACCCTTTTGCCCGATCAAATCTGAAATTTGGGTGTATTTTCTGATAATCGACAGTGAAGTTTTAAAATTTCCGCTAGAATTTTTGATAAAATGTTCAGAAAATTAAAATACCGCTGTCCAATCTGATCGAAATTTTTTAACTTTCGGGGGACCACTAAACTTTCCTTTTTTCTTTTTAAATTCAAGTCAACTTCCGCCATCTTGATATTTGATTTTGCTACTGTACTATTTGTTACTGTCAAATTTTTAAACATTTTTTTAAAGTTTAAAAAATTTTGTTTGCAAAGATAAGTCAATATTCTAATCATGAAAATCC